AACGATTTCTCCACCTACTATATTTAAGGTTCTGAAAATATTTTAATTAAAATATAACCAAACATACTGCCAGGGGATTCTGGCTATTGTAGTCCAAAAAGTAATTTTCTTAGGATCTGGTCTTAACAAGCATAGGATGTTATAGTCTATACTTCGACTATGAATCCTTCTCCTCCTCCTCCATATCAATTCTCATTTAATATTTGATTAAAACATTAATAGTATCCATGATATTAATCTACATGAGGCATGTCTGTTGGTTTTTATACATGCCCCTCTGGTGTTAGTTGATTTGGTTTCACTTCGTTTATGTCTTAATTGACCTATTGCTATACAGTGCCCTGGAATCTATTTTGACAGTGTCTGAATCTACACAGACACTGTGTACACACACTACACAGACACCTCACAGGTCTACAGCAAGGTGTGAGGGCCATCTGGTCTCAATCCATGAAGGCTGTTTTCCCACAGATTATTATAGGCTGTACCATTTCCTCTTGCTACAGATCTGAACAAGCACAAAGTTCTGGATGTATCAGGACTGCCACTTAGAACAGGCACTGGCAGAAGGTATCTGCCAATCTAGATCTCTGGTACATGTCTGGATAATGTGCAGCAGCTCAGCAGTGATTTACTGTTTAACAATAGGAGCAACAAATTACTCCCTCCCATTTTACATCATACTGTTAACATGACAAACACTTTGGGCAACCAGAACAGATTTTTGTGTGGAAGGACTGAGTTCTGCTCACTTAAGTTATTCAGAACAAATTTCTGATCCCTTCATTCTAAGCCTATACTTTTTCTATCTGGTTGGTGGATCTTCAGGTTCTAGGAGAAGACCAAAGGAGGCCCCAAAGGCCTGAAGAAGGCCCATCCCTACTTAGGTCAGGAGTAAATGAATGGTTGCTGCTTACCATCACTGAGTGTAGGTACTTGTAGAGCAACCTGGATTTCTTTGCCTTACCACCATGTGCCTATGATCCACCTCTGCATACTATGCTTGTTCTGATGTATGTAGACTTTATGCCCAGGTCCTGCTTTTGATTTCTCCACACATTCCATCAGAACTAAATGTTCGGCTAAAGATCTTAATTATCCCTATGCTCTCCTTCTAGTATACTGTGCTTTGTGCTAAATTTGTCTATGCCACTGTGACGTCATAGGCTTTCATGGCCGGCACCCATAGTCTTTTGTGGGTTTTTCATGTTGTGTGGCCATGTTCTAGAAGAGTTTCTTTCCAGAAATAAACTCTTCTAGAACATGGCCACACAGCCTGAAAAACCCACAAAAAACTATGTCCATGACAACTTTGGCATCTACAATTTGTGTCTGGGTTGTTAATCATCTGAATTCTGAACCATTCCAGACTTTGTTCTACCTGGGCTCCAGGATCTTGAAAATTTGCAAACATTGAGAACTGAGCCACACTGATAATTGGTGTGTCTAGTTTTTAGAGCAGGGGTAGGGAATCCCTTTGAGTTTGATTCTTCTGATTGAACCTTTGTTGGGGCAGGCCACATGATGTCAGAGGGGGTGAGCACATCCTCTGACATCATGTGCCCCTTTGCTGAAACATCAGCTGTAGCTCCTTCAGTCTGTGCTTGGTTGTTGTGAGTGAAGTAGGCTTTTCCTACTGGGAAGCTCATCAAAGCACTGTCTATGGAAGTACTACCTCAGCAACTGCTTTGGCCAGAAATTGGTTTTTTCTCTGCCAGGGCTTTCCCCAGTTAGAGAAAGCCCTATGTTAGCTGCCCAATAAAGGCAGTGGGTGCCAAATGTGAAGGACACTAACATTTCTGGGTTTTTTGTTCCCTTTGCCTTCTCCATACAGCTCACAAAAAAGGCACAGCAAAACGATAAACTAGTCATATTAAAACATATCAACAATGGTCTAAATGGGGAGAAGAAAATAAGAAGAATATATCAGCAAAATAAAGGTCTTTCCCTGATCCCAGAGCCCAAATGATAAGATACTCAGTGTTAAACATGCCATCTCAGAGGAGGATGTTCTAAAGACATAGGAGATTATCACACAGCCTTTTCTCCTGATCCAGGTGAGGGCTGAAACTGTGGAAAAGTGGATGTTATTGCACAGCTCCATGCTTGGATCAGGGGCATCCCGTACTCGATCAGGACTTTCCCTGTTCTTTGCAAAGTATGAGAGAAGTCTCAATCAGGTCCGGGATGCTTCTGGTCCAGACATGGAGCTGTGTGATAACATCCATTTTTACATTGTTTCAGCCCGTGCCTGGATCAGGAGAAAAAAGCCAGTGCAAAAATCTCCTAGAGCTGCAGTTTGTGCTAGTCAGCACCCAGCTCACCTCAGGAGGTGGCAGAGAATAGTCCCACCATGTGGCCACAAAGTCCACACAGACATTCATGTGGAAGCAAATGGTCTTTCAGATACTGGATATATTGTTGAAAAGGAACTACAACTGCATCTCACACCTGTAATGCCAAAATATGCCTAGTACCAATGTAGGTGTGGTGGACGGAAAAAGTTTGCCCATCATAGTGGGCTTCTGATCCTGGGGTAGAAGGAGGGAAATGTCCACAAGGTGACTCAGCCTTTGCCCAATCTGCTATCCATTGCCTAGCTTTACAGACAACATAGTAAGACACTGCTGCACATAAATGAGGAATTTTCCAAAAAGAGAAGATATTCTTAACATTAAAGAAGGGAGCATTTTCATAGATTATTATATTTCTTACCTTGCATTTCATGTGATCTCAATGCAAAAGAGAACTGGTGATCTGAAGCACTGTTGGACTGGCTGAGGCTCTGCACAGCTGTTGTCTGGTCTGGATGCCCAAGAACCACCAGAGAGGCCATAGTATTAGCTGAACTCTTGTTTTAACAAAGGAAAAAGAAACAAACACATAAATTTTGTTTCTGTCAAGATAGGGAAACAGGGATATGCATACACACACAAACACACACAGTTTTATAAAAAAAAAAACAAACAGATTTAGACACCTGGCCAAGCTCATGCATATGCCCGTATTAGAACAGGACAGTATTTCCCTAAACATACAACTCCCATCACCTCCAACCAACATGACCAGTTCAGAGCATGCCAGGCTGGAGAAGGCTGGATGAGAACAATTTAGAATTTGATCCAGCCTGATCCAGTTGTGTTGAGTCATATGGGACCCCTCCACATAATGAGCACACAGCATCCACAATTGATTGGACAGAGCTGTCTGTGTTTCTTGGACAAAAGAGTTTGTGCACCTGGGATGTGAGTGTTTGTTTCCCAGCTGCCACCCGTTCCTTTCTTCACCCCAGGCAGAGAGGCAACTAGTAATAATGGCACACACTGTATGCTGATTTTCCTCTCAAAGTTAATTTGTATCTTTAGAAGGGGCAGAAAAAAAAAGCTATAGGAAGGTATTAATCTGCTTAACATTTCTAAGTACATCATCCAAGGGATTTTGTTTTTTTAATCTTACATATGCTCAGCAGAGTTACTGGCAAAAACTGTACATTTTCTTCATTTCATCCTTTCAACATCAAATGGTAAGCAGCAAAAATTGGATCAGACTTCAAAGACTGCGCTGTGCTCCCAGTCACAGAGCGACTCCTCCATTTCACATATTGAATTCGAGCAGGATATCAAAGTGCTACCAAAGAACCTCAGGTCCTTACAAAAAAAGAGGCTCTAACATCTGTAGAAAGTGAAGTGCACAGACAAATCACCTCAGGGAGCAGCTAGCATTTATTCTCAGCAGCAGATTTCCAGCCTTTTGATTCCCTTATTCACTGTACCTCCCTGTCTTTCTACAGAACTAAAGTTCTTAGCAAGCAGACTTTTGTCTCAAAGACTTCAAAACACCCCTAACAGATTCATGTTCTGATGGTTATGCCAAGCAACCATGAACACACTTCAGAACTGTGGATTCAGGAATTTTATGTCATTTTAGAGTCTAAACTTCATGGTACCTTGCTTGTTTGTTTGTCAAGAAAATCCAGGTCTGCAGGAGAAGTGGGGCTGCTCCTTTGATGCCTAAAACACACATTGTTATTGTTATTTGTTGTTATCATTACATCATTTTTATTACAATTACTGTTGTTCATATTAACATTTCCCAACTTGTTATCCACATCTGCTCATTAGCCATAAGACAATCTAATCACTAGGGAAAAATGCACAATTGTACACTTCCAATTTATTGGTTTAAATTTTTAAAAGGCATATTATTCACAAAACAACTGTGCATGGAATATACTGCTTTAAAACTGAAAGAAAAACATCTTCTTTAAATACATTGACTATTTGTTTCCTTCTTGATTTTGCTCTCTTCTGAAGAGGAAAGTCAGATTTGAAATCCAGTATCCTATGCAGCTTGCCTCTTCTGCAGATATCTGCATGCCTTAAACAAGAAAAAACACTGTGCATGCTGTTCTACCTTGCACACACACACAAACCTCTTTTTGATCTCCTCTACATTAAATATTACAATAAATATTGCTTAATGCCCTCTACTTCTCTAGAATGAACCTAGCCATTTCAGGATGTGTGGCTGGCTAAAGAGTGCTCTGTTGCTGCGTAAAGCCTGGTAGAGGCGAACTATTCATAGTGGTGGTCCACAGACCAGTGTTGGTCTGCAAGCTACCAGCTGCTAGTCTATGGACAGCTTTCAGGAAAGAAAATTTCAGGAAGGAAGAAAAATTGTAATCAATGGGCACAAATGTTCTTGGACAACTGGGTGGGGGACCATACAGGTCCCCCATTTAGCTTAAGAAGCCCTGCAATTGATTTCTGTTGGTGAATCAGCAGATAGGATCCTGCATTGTTCTTAGGAGTGTGGAACCATTCTTTTGCAGTAAAAAAACCAAAAACCAGAATGGAATCTCCCCATCACCTTGTATACTTACAGTAAGTGCTTTTGCTGTTGTATGTCTTCAAATTCTTTCTGACATAGGATGATCCTAAGGTGGCCTTATCACAGGCTGAGAATGTGTGACTCACCCAAGGTCACCAAGTGGGTTTCCATGGCTGAGCGGGGAATAGAACCCTGGTCTCCAGAGTTATAGTCCTACACTCCAACCACTATACCACGCTGGCTCTAATAAGTATCTAGTGGATACCAAGTAGTAAATACTTCCCATTGGAACACGAGCCTAACAACATTAGGCTTTAAAGCTGATATTCCTCCCCCTTATTACTAAAGAACAGAACAGAACAGAAAAAAGTCTCAAGAGGCAAGATGTCAGTATTAATGTGTTACTTCCAAATTCTGATACATTCCTAAGAAAGAGAGTGAGATTATCAGAATGAGTAGAAAAGATATTTGCGTTTAAAATTGAGACGCAGGACTCCAGTGCTTAATTTCTAGAAAAAAGATTCTGGGGTTTAAGCCTATCTAGAAACACTGGGCAGAAAGCCTTTTCTCAGATTTCTGATGTATTGGTGCCATCTGTGTCTGTGTAGAAGTGAGGAAAATACTTTCTCAGCAAGTACATGAGGCATTTTAGAACTGTCTTCATATAGTCCAAGTTTAGGCCCTGGTACTGAAATCAGATGCTGGGTCACTTCCTTTTTCAATGTATAGTTGGGCACAAAATGGAAAAATATTTTAAATTATAAATTAATTGTTGTATAATAGTTAAGAGTTGGAGAAACTGCCAATGTGTAGACAAATAATGAAGCATGATTGAAGCTCATTTGTTTAGTGAGAAGGAATTTGTGCAGTTGGAATATCTGGTTATAAAAAACTGAAATCCTAGTTGGGTCTGAGTTCAAAAACAAATTTGGTCCCTTTAGGAATCAAACAGAAGATGACATATAAGAGACAAATTTATTGGTATTTTGTGCCTTCAGATCATTTCCAACTTATGGTCACCCTAAGGTGACCCTATCCCAGGGGTCTCTTGACAAGATTTGTCTAGTGGAAGTATGTTATTGCCTTCCTCTGAAGCTGAGAGTGTGTGACTTGCCTAAGGTCACCCAGTGGGCTTCCACAGCTGAGTAGAGATTCAAATCCTATTTTGTGAACTCTCAGTCCAACATATGAATCCCTAAACCACACTGGCCCTTAAGATTTGTTCAGATGAGGTTTGCCTTTGGCTTTGCCTTTCTCTGAGCCTAACATTATGTGACTTACACTGTGCCACACAGTGGATTTCCATAGTTGTTTTTTTTTGGGGGGGGGGGAGTCAAATGCTGGTCTCCCAGACTTCCAGTCCAACACTCAAACCACTACACTGGGGTGGCTCAAGAAGGCAAATTACAATTTTCTAAAAGCCTGGTTTATTTAAGGACAGTTGCAACAAAAATGACCAGCCATAAGCAAACAGTGGGCCACACAGGCTGCATGTAATTCTTGGGGTCCCAAAGTAGGGCATCTGATCCCCCAAACCCTGTAAAACATTTTAATTAATTTTTCACCCCTCATAATGACTAAAAATGCTGCAGGAAGTAAATAATACAGATGATAATACTTGTTACCCTTACTTTCAGTTGATGGAGGGATTCTGGCAGGTTTTGAAGGAATGTGAGAGGAACTGGAGAGCAAAACTGCTGCATTTTGCAGAGTTTCTGAGTAGTTGGGGTGGGTGAAAAATTATCATGAATACTTTTTTAAAAAGTTAAGGGGTCTGGCAGATTTGGTGTGCCAATGCATCCCACCAGGAGTATAAGGGGGAAAGCTTACAAACTCCCCACACTTTCCCCACAGCTGCCCAATCCACTATGAACTAAAGAGACAGTGGTTATTAGTGAAGTATAGTCGGATCCTCGTATCCATAGATTCAAGCATCCATGACATATATCTAGATAGATAGATAGATAGATAGACACACACACACACACACTCCAAAAAGTAAATCTTGATTTTGCCATTTTACATAAGAGGAACCATTTTACTACACCATTGTTTTTAATGGGACTTGAGCATCACTGGATTTTGGTATCCATGGGGGATCCTGGAACCAAACCTCCGCGGATATCAAGGGTCCACTGTATATATTTACCAGTGCGCTGGATTATAGCTGAAAATATTGCATTCTCTCTCTGTTGCAGCATATTACTTGACATAACTAAATTAGTTAAGGTTGAATCCTGCTGCTGAAGTCAGTGGACACATGCATAGGCTATGAATTGTACATTCATAAAAAACCCAAACTATCCACCTAGCAGGGGTTCTTGAAACAAATGGGCAACTTAACTGTCACAGGAATTAGCTCACATGGATCTTTCAAGGATCATGCATATGCAAATTGAAAAGAGAGATGTTTAAATGGACAAATAATAAATTACATAAATAAATTACATGAATCTTATGTGTACATTTCCAAAGAGGTATCTGTGTTAATCTAAGCTGATGGGGATGAAAAACAAGTCTTGTGGCACCTTAAAGATAATAACACATTTATTACAGCTTTCAGGGACTACAGTCCACTTCATTAGATGCACGAGGTATTACCCTGAGTTACAGGTAAAATTCTCTATGTTGGAGGATTTGGGGAGGAAAGGTGAATTGTAAACAGTGAGGTCAAAGAAAAGAGAAACAGGAAATATGTAATTTGATAATCAGGTACTCAATAAGATCCTATTGACCCGCCAAAGATCTTGGCAGACCCACCCCAATTTTTTTGTGATGGTGTGGAAAAAGTTAGTTTTTGGCTGAATCCCCCACCAGCACCACCCACCATACACATTTTAAAAATATTTGCAGGGCTTTTTCATGCTGTTCTGGGGTGCTTCCCCTAAACAACCAGCTTTCCCCCTCAGAGAGCCAACTGGAAGTGACAAGCCATCACTTCTATGGCAGTTCTATGACACACTTGTGGGCCTCAAGAGGAGCCAAAACTCTGATGGTATGGCCCTCTCGGTGCCAGAGTGTGCCCAACCCAGCTTAGTATAAGTGTATTATTGTGAACAACCAGCTGTTAATGTAACATCAGACTCTGGCCCAGCATAACTATTTGGTAGAGTGCTGCCTGAGGCAACAGATTCTCATGAAAGGGTAGCAAACTGTTAGTGATTTAATGTGCTATAATTGTATTTTTGCTGCCAGGTGCCAAAATAACTTGACATACATACTTTTATCCACTGACTATAACTTGGGGCAGAAGAGAAGAATCCCACCATTTACTACTTCATCTGAGGTAGCAAAATGTCTTGGGTCAGGCCTGAGTGCCCTGTCCTTCTTACTTATCTATGGCTTGGATGCCACTCCTGGGAGTTGGAAGGTGTTTTTCATCCATATCCTCCTGCCTCCTCCCACCCCACATCTGTGTTTGTGCCTGAGCAACAGTGTGTGGAGGTGCAGTAGGAAGGAGCATTCAGAGAACATATAATAACTATGCTGCATTTTTAAAATGTAAAGTTTGTATTAGTTTTATTTAAAACATAGAGAAATAATGCCAGTCAGGTTCCCTGGCCCCTACACATCTCCCTAAGTGTAGTTGTATGATCCTACATTTTGACCTTGGCTTTAGAAAGTAGTAGTCAAAAAGGCTGCTTCCGCACTGCAGAAACAATCTAGTTAAAACCACTTTAACTGCCATGGCTCAATGCTATGGAATTCTGGGAATTGTAGTTTCTTGTGACCCCAGAGCTCTCTGACAGATAAGGCTAAATATCTCACAAAACTATAATTGCTAGAATTTCATAGCATTGAGCCATGGCAGTTAAAGTGGGGTCAAATTGGTTTATTTCTGCAGTGTAAATGCAGCCAAGAACTGAAATTCTATGCACACTTTCTTAGAAGCAAGCCCTTAGAATCAAGCAAGAAACTTTCTTGTAAATAAACATGCGCAGGATTGGGATATATGAAATCCTGTGCGTGAAATAACTCATTTAATGTCTTGTTTCTGTGGGTATATTTACAAAGGAATATCAATACATATCAATGACCTATGCATAAGTTTCTTTAGCATTACTATGTTGTTGTTATTAGCTACCAGAAACATTGTGCAATCTACTGCTTCTGATTTTTTTTAAACCATCAATCCTTTCAACAGTACTACTGTTAAAATGCAAGTGCCGCTGCTTCCTTTGATCTAGTGTGGGAAAGGTTTTGCATGTGCTGAATGTATCATGTTCTTTGAAACATCTATTAGATCTTGACAAGTACAGTGAAATGTATTGTAATACTTTGTTTAGAGGTACTGTAGAGTAAGTTGAAATGATAAATGCTACCATCATGTGAATGTAAATTATCTGCTTTGATTTTGAAATGCCACTCAAGACAAAACTGAACCAAAGGGAGAGAGAGTCTTTTCTTGCCACTGCAAACAGCATATCAGTTGGAAGAAACCAATCAGATCTTCAGCAACACAGAGATTCCTACACTTGCCTGCTAGATATTGGGGATTCCCCCTGCAGAATGAAAATTCACTTTTAAAAAACACATATACAATGACATACTGAAGTCATCGACAACCAAGTGGTGGTAGGATGATGTTCTGGGACAATGGGCATCATCAACTTACAACTGCTCATTTATGGATGGCTTCAGCATTTTATCAGCTAGGATCATGTTGGCAACATACACCAGTGTAGCTTTCAGTTACACCTGCATAAAAGACTCTGAATGAAGTTGTGAAAAGGTGTGTCCTTATGCAACGTTGTTACTCTCAATGCACAAGAACATCCAGGGGGCTTCCAGGCACAGCTCTATTTCTCTGGCCACTGATAAAGCATGGAGCTGTGCCTAGGCATATTTTGTCTGCCATTGAGCACCTGGCAAAAGGAAGGAAACGTATGCTAGGGTGGGGCTACAAGTTGAGCAGAGGACACAAT